AAAAAAAAAAAAAAAAGAAAGCTATATAAACTATAATTAATATTATATAAATGATTTATTGTTGTTATTATTATTATAAATAATAAAATATAGAATATATGTAAAAAATAATTATATATAAAATATATGAAATTATAAAATTTATCAAATTAAATAAATTTAAAAATACTAATAAATAAATCACTAATAAAAATGACAAAAGCACATAATAAAATTACTCAAACGTAAATTAAAAATTGAAATTAAACTGGAAGTATATAAAAAAACTAATTCAAAATATTAATAAATACTATAATATTATATAAATAATACTAAAATGAACTGACTGTCAACTGATTCACTGAGAAGAATTGAATCAAACTAGGGTTTCATTTACAAATCTGGCAACACTGCTTCTCTCACGAAATTATTCGTTTGTCAGGGAAAGCTACTGTAAAGTGGTCGTTAGGATTTTCTGTAAACAACAGCTTAGATTTGTATGTGTTCATCACACTAAGCGTTTGTATGCTTGAAGACTTGAGAAATATAATGCACTTGTGACATGGACCACATTCATGATAGTCCTGTGGTACTCACTCCACTGAAGGAAGTCATCCATACAGGTTTGAAGTGACATGAGAGTGAGTAAATGATGACAGAATTGTCATTTCTGGGGTAAATAATTTCTTGATTCCTTGGCAGCATGAGGTAAAGCGGATTCAGTGGAACAGCCTCACTTGGTTTCTTAGCATGTCATAGCCTGCGCTTCACTGCATTGCAGTGGAAATCTCATTAAAACTAACCCTGACATGACTTCTGTCAGAAACTGAAATGGAAGCCTTCACTGTCTCAAGGGCCCTGGAGCATACAACGTCCACCTTATTTCTTTTTTCCACCCCTCATCTTGCTGATATTACATACTCGGTATCCCGTTCCCTCCCTCTCACGTCCTGTCTTGCACCCCTGATGACTCAATATGGCTGTCTGGCTTGTACGCTGTGCCAGGAACACATGCAGGCTCCCAAGCTGCCTGACGGAGCATCACTATCAGCTCTCAGAGTGCCAGTGTGGCCCTGTCTGGCCCGGAAAGAGCAGCCCTCCTTGTTGTGGGTGTTGTAAAAAGCTTGCCAATACCTTTTTTCAATTAAATGGTATCAGTGTTTGGCCAGAAGTTGAGCGACGCTCTCTAAAAACTGGCCTATATTTCCACACTGCTTATGTTCCTACATAATCTGCTTACAAATGTATTCATTCATTCATTCATGCATTAATTCATTCATTCATTCATTCTTGCATTCGTACATTCATACATTCATTCATTCCTATTATTTATAAACAGTGTTTTATTTTAGAATTTAGATTTGGAATTTTACATCAATTTAAAATACCAAATATCATAATGTTTATATATAATATGAATATAAATGTAACAATAAATCTGGTTTATCATTAATTACAGGTCCTATTAAGTTCTCTGTTGAATTTCTTTAGTAAATTAACTGGCTTTGAATTTACAGGAGGGCAATCTGAAGCGTTACCCCACACCGTATCCTGATGAACTGAAGAACATGGTGAAAACAGCTCAGTCCGTGGCTCACAGACTCAAAGAGGACGAGTCCGGTGACGAGGCAGGAAAAGAGACCAGGGCCAGTGAGAGGAACCACATCGGAGTGCAGGATGTTGGCGTGAAGGTTGGATTTTGAAAACACTACCAGTTGCATGTCCTGTTGTGGGTTGGGTCGAAATATTTTTTTATATTGATCTGTGGGTTGTGTGAAGAATGTTTAAAGTGAATCCTGGTGCAGATGTTGGAATGACCTTGACTTTCCTGTGTGTCAGGTGATTGAAAGTCCCTGCACTAATGGCAGAGCTGTTGAAATGGAGCCTAAAGCAATGATGAACAGTCATCAAAATTACAAGCCTATAGATTCATTAGACAACCACAGCGTTGAAAGGATTCCTCTCAAGACCTCAGACAACATGAGAACTATGATGAACCATGATGACACCCTTGAGGTACTGCATCAGAGTTTCAGTATTAAATCTTATGAATATGGTCAAATGGATTAAAAAATGATTTACTCATTCCAGTGTAATTTCAAACCTATAAGAGGGTGAAAGTTAATGTGGACCAGGCTGTCAGACTCCAAAATGACAAAAAAGCACATTAAAAGTAACATAAAAGTAGCTGTAATTGTGACTGTTGTAATGTAAGAAATTATATAGATTTTGGTCTAATAGATGAACTATATAGTACCTTATGCTTGACGTTGTGTGTATGGTTTTACAAATGTTCCATAGGTAATATATAATGTATAGACTTGTGTTAGTAAACATAAGTAGAGGTAGAGAAAAAATTGGAAACACTACAGTAAGGTTTCATTTGTTAATATTAACTGCATTTTTTAACATGAACTAACCAAAAATTAGTAAAAAAAACAAAAACAAAACAACAAATATAACATTTAAAAACAAACGTTTTTCTGTTTATATTATTCAATTAATTTGTCAATGTATTTTCTTACATGAATTAACAATGTTAACAATGAATAGCACTTTTATTAACTAACATTAACAAAGATTAATAAATACTATAACAAATGTGTTGCTCATTGTTAGTTAATGCAGTAACTAGCATTAACTAATGGGACCTTATTGTAAAGTGTTAAAAAAAAATGGCCCACATCACAGTATACTATATGCATTTTTTTCAGACTCAGGGCTTTAAAATTGGATGCAATAAATGAAATTAGCTACTGTCACTCATTATTCTCTTACTATGAGTGGATGTGAAATTCCTGTCAGGATAAATTTGCTCATATTGTATTATGTGAGATTTAATGATGTCAAGACATACTGTATCAATAGGGTTCATCATTTAAACAAATGAATATGAAAATGAGTTCAGTTTACCACTATGCAAGCAAGAAGAAAATTGGAGTATAAATTAAATTTAAGCTTTTGATATGATATGGTTGTGTGGTCAGGACTCAGAGGAGCTGTCATCTGAGGAGGAGGAAATGAAGATAGCCGAGATGAGACCTCCACTCATCGAAATCTCCATTAACCAGCCTAAAGTAGTGGCCCTCAGCAAGGACAAAAAAGGTAAAGTCATACTTGCCTTACTTTCTCACTTTGCTTAATATCATTTAATAATTCTCCCATTAACAGGATAATTGTTTCTCAAGATAGGGTGTTTTATTGAACTGTAGAATTAAATGCAAGTGATGTTTTTCCTGTCTGGTGATGTAGATGATGGGAAAGATGCTGACTCTTTGCTGGATGAGACGGTGGCCAACAGTAACCAGAACAACAGCAACTGCTCTTCACCATCACGCATGTCTGATTCAGTGTCCTTGACCACAGACAGTAGTCAGGACAACTCCCTCTGCACCCCAGAGAGAGAGTCAAAGATGCCTCTCGTCCCCAAGAGCGGGTACGAACACACAGAATACACAAAAATCTAATAATGAACAGCAGTGTTTAACTTAATATTTCTCTATGGAAAAGAACTCAAATGCAATGCGGCGGCTTCCACAAAGGGACTTGAATCAGCAAATAGTCACCAAAGTAATTTACATAAACTGTCCAAATGAATTGATTCACTAGAATACATTGAAAATTAAATATGAACCATTATGCATTGAGTCCATTTGCATGTTAATGAGCTGCAGTTCAGATAACAATCTAAATGTTGAACCATTGTGCTCATGTGGGCAACCCAAGTTCTCAGTAATTTCCAGTCATCTCTTGTATCAATTACAGTGGAAAAGGGCTCAAAAACATTCTTTTATTATTAGAAAGATGTATGAAATGTGGGCAGAAATAATAGCTCTTTTCACAATCCTAGTGTGGTGTCTGCCTAGATTTGCTTTGTCTTTAGTTAAGAACTGTAAAAAAACAAAATTATATGAATTTCTAGAATACACGCTATATCAATATCAGCATAAAGTATCAATGTAATATCTGTAGAAAAATAATCACAATGTATTAATATATGATTATATTGGCACTGTCTTTCTTAGAATGGGTAGTACACAGGAGGGCAGATTTTGATGGAGTCTTTCTCTAACTTGATTTGATTTCCTCAAACTCAGACAAGAGGATGAAAACCTCAACCAGCTGAAGCAGATGAGCCCTCTACTCCAGAACTGCAATGGCTCTGAGACGTCTCTACAGACCATCCTGAAGAACCAGCAGAGCTATGAAAGCAAGTCAGACCAAATGGCCGACTACAGTCTCTCCATGGAGGAGAGGCTTGCCCTCATTGAAAGGGGCATAAAGAACGGCGTGGCAGAGCAGTACAGCAAGTGGGATCAGATCAACATGAACGTGGCCAAACTCCCACCTGACAACATAGTGTCGTATGAGGACCTGGAAAGGACCAAAAGTCCCTCAGCCAAGGAGTCCATTTCAAGCAACAACAATGCCATGGTGTCACTCGAGAACCTTGAGAATGGGAATCGGATTCAGAAAACCCAGTCTGGGGAGAATTTTAATGGCCGAACGGATCAAGTTCCCTTGCGGTATGAGTCTACGAGGACCGTCTCGACAGGTGTAACAGCCTTAAGCGACATGAGTCTTTCTCGTAGTACAGAGGAGCTGTCGCCAGAGAAGAAATATCCACCAGCTCCAGTGGTGAAATCTCAGAGCATTGCCAACATGGATGGTGGAGGGATGAAGCTGTACTCCATCGAGGGAGAAGGCCCCCCCTATGAAGTGGCATGTGCAGCCAGAACATCTGTAAGCGGTGCTCAGGGCCAGAGCATCGTCCGCTCCAAGTCCGCCTCCTTGCTCAACGACCAGCCATTGCAGATCTACCCTGGTTCCTCTGCATCATCCTCTGACCTGTTGTCCAACTCCAAACCTCTGATTAGCAGCGCCCGCTACCCCACTGGCCCCCCACCGCAGTACAACATCCAGTACGCCAGTAGCACTGTACCCAAAGACAACTTGTGGAGCCAACGTACCCCCGTACCTCCTGAGCAGCCCTACCTGCCACCACAGCACTCCCTTGCCAATACCAACTACTCCAACCGCAACAACGCCCCCCCATATCCCCAGCCCCAACAACGTGGCCCGCCCAAGACACCGGACATGTGGGCCAAGGAAAGGATGCTGCCACCTGTTGGCCAGCGTGGCACCTTGCAGAGACAAGGTAGTGGATCCTCTGGCAGCCCCATGTGCATGCCGGACCCACGTCGCATGCCAGGAATGGAAGGAGAGTACATGACCTACCGGGACATTCATGCAGCAGGCCGTGGGCCTCTGCAGATGAGCCAGGCTCTCCACAGACCCTTGTCGGCCCGCACATATAGCATGGACGGACCCAACGCTCCCCGGCCACAGAGTGCCCGGCCCCCACCTCACGAGCTTCCAGAGAGGACCATGTCCGTCAGCGACTTCAACTACCAGCACGCCAGCCCCAGCAAGAGACCCAGCATGAGGGTGAAGTCAGAGCACTCGTTGCTGGATGGGCCAGTCAGCGGAGGCGGCAGGGTTCCAGCAGACTGGAGGGATCAGGTCATGAGACACATCGAAGCCAAGAAGATGGAGAAGGTATGGCCATTTTTACAAATAGTGAATGCTAAGACAAGCATAGCTGTTGCTCATACATGGCGTTACGGATTTGTTCAGATCCATAATTCTGAGTCATAAATTTTGTCCTGTACTGTCTGCACTAGACATGAATGATACTTCCAAGTAGGTGGATTGTTGAGGAAAGAGTTTTGTAATCTTTTGGACGAGCAAATTCTGTCAGGTTCAGGGGTGGTCAACTCCGGTCCTGTAGGGCCACTATCCTGTAGAGTTTAGCTTCATCCCTAATCAAATGCACCTGAAAAATCCATCCTGTGTCTTCAGGATTGCTTCAAGATTACAGGCAGGTATGTTTAATTTGGGATGGAGATAAACTCTGCAGAACCAAGTTGTCCATTCCTGGTCTAGTGGGACGATATAACTTAGATCAGGGGTGTCCAAACCTGTTCCTGGCTGTGTTAATTTTGACAGGCATTTTGATTTAGTCTTAGTCTTTATCTTGAGACGAAAATGCTGAATAGTCTTAGTCACATTTTAGTCATTTGAGTCTTTGATAGTTTTAGTCGACGAAAAGTCATTGCATTTTTGTCAACTTTTAGTCATTACTTTTAGCCAAACTGCAGTTACCAACATTTATTTTGGTAGCTATTTTATATGTAGTCTTCAAACAAAAATAGTAATTATTTCTTCTCTCTTTAGACAAAATCAATTAAGCTTTTGAGAAATTTGAATCAAGGATTGAATTTGGAAAAACTTGAATAGATGATGACAATTTTCATTTTTGGGTGAACTATCCCTTTAACAGTAGTGAAAAGGGAGCAACTTATAAAAATATATATAGTTGTTCATACATAATATATATAATTTATAATTTTTGAAAAAGAAGCAGAATAAGACAATAAGACAAATACGAAAGAGATACAAATTAAACTAATTTTTCAGATACAGTAGGTTTCACTTAATCCATAACCGACTGTATTTACGTGAGATACTCTACACGATAAACATTTGGACTGATGTGTGTGTATTTGAGCACTGAGAACTGATCGCGCGATGTATATGAGAGCTGAAGAAGTAGAGCGTGCGCGAGAGAGAGCACTTCTATCAGCACGATTCCGCCTATCCCGCCTTCACTAACTTTAAGTTAATCGACAATGAATTGTGACTCCCGGGAAAAACGGGACATCTTGGTCACCTTATCCCTACCCCTTCGGGTGCTGAGGCCATTGTTTCAGATCGCTAGTTCGCGTTTTGGTAGCCTATCCATCCACTGCGGCTGCCCTGCCATACTGAGACTAGATATGCAAACGCCCCTTATCCGATTGCAATCCAATGACAGGGACGCACATTTTGAAGGACAAGACAGTAGCCTATACAGGATGTATTTTGAATGTCCGGTAGTCCTCAAATAACATTATAGTCCCGTCTCGTCGTTAACAAAGACGTGGCATAAATTTCGTCATAGTTTTTATCATCAGATATTAGCTTTAGCTCGTCAACGTCTCGTCTTAGTCACAGAAAATTTTTTCGTTTACGAATATGTTTCGTCGTCGTCTTCGTTGACGAAATTAACACTGGTTCCTGGAGGGCCACTGTCCTACAGAGTTTAGCTCCAACCCTAATTAAACGCACCTGATCCAGCTAATCAAGGTCCTTTGAAATGCTGGAAACCTCCAGGCAGGTGTGTTGGAGCTAAACTCTGCATGATGTTGGCCCTCCAGGAGCAGGATTGGACACCCCTGACTTAGACGAACCAGATCCAGGGTTCAGGATATCAGCAGTAGAGTTTAGCTCCAACCTTAATCAAACACATCTGAACCAGCTAATCAAGGTGTTCAGGAATACTTGAAAATAGCAGACAGGTGTGTTGGCGCAGGGTTGGAACTGAAATCTGCAGGAAGGTAGCCCTCCAGCAGCAGGGTTTGGCTATCCCATTGTGATTTGAGGGTGGGCTCTTTTAATTTGGGCCAGCAAGCACCAACATAGCAGTATGCTAAAAGAAAAAAACGCTCAAGGCGCAGCCAAAATCGCATAATGTCAGTGTAGGTACTGTAGTTGATAAGGAATGAACTTCATGACGTAGTAGGCATATTCGGACACAGGGTTAGACTACCTTAGCAACCACATGGCAACAGCCTGGCAACCACTCACAACATCTTGGTATCATGGAGGCAAGTTTTGCACGGTTACTCACAATCTAGTTTCTAAACCTCACATCTGGAATAACACGCTCCACCATTCTTCAGCATTAACTGCATGCATACAGTATTGTTTATTTCCTCTCCTTACCCAGTATTTTTCTGCATGTTTGTATATGGACATTAACACATTAACCTCCTCTAACCCTTGCATGTTTCAAAGTGTACTCATGGTTACTGCTTGCTCACATATGTCATCATTAAATGCATGTGTTTGTGTGCATGTGTTGTCATCTGTTCAGAGTGCTCTCTCTCGGTCTTTGGCCACTCTCATTGGCAGTCAGAGCTCTCTGGCCTTTAGTGCTGTAGACGGATGGCAGTTTGGAGCTCATGGGCCCAGCGTGAGTACCGCCCCACTGAGACCTCACCTCCCTAAACTCCCAGAGGCACAGTAGAGTCTCTCTCATTTCTCAAAGGGTCATCCTCTCTGCTTGCTGTTTAATCTGTGTATTCCCAGCGATGAATTCACTTAAGATGAATATGTTGAGTGTTTAACGACCGTTCATAGAGGCACAAGAACAGTACACAATAATCAAGTGATCACATTCACACATTCAACTCATCTGCATGTTAGTAGAGTCTCCAAAACCTGAAATGAATGGGTCAGAAAAGGGCCTGTTTGAGTGAGTCAAAGAACAGGGTTGGGAAAAAAAAAAAAAGTTTGCGTTCAGTGGATACTCTCCAAAATGGCGCTAGGGTGACGCGGAGGAGACGAATTGTTGAATAAAGTCGATTTTTTTTTCTCTTTTGCGCACAAAGTATTCTCGTAGCTTCTTATTATTACGTTTGAACCCCTGATATCACATGGGTTATTTTACCGATTTCCTTGCTACGTTTCTGGACGTTGATCGTGGTAGTACCCTTGCTGTCTATGGGAGGGTCAGAGAGCTGTCAGAATGCATCAAAAATATCTTAATTTGTGTTCCGAAGATGAACGGAGGTCTTACGGGTTTGGAACGACATGAGGGTGAGGGTGACAGCATTTTCATTTTTGGCTGAACTATCCCTTTAAGTTGTTCCAAACCTGTACAACTAACTTTCTTCCATTAAATACAAAATAAGATGTTTAGCAGAATGTCCAAGCTGCTCTTTTCCGTACAATTCTGCAAAATTGTGTGAAAACTGGCTCTTGATTAGTCAATAAATGGTATCTAAGCAGCAAGCATTGAGCAGAATGCTCCTTATGGAGCTCAAGACCCCCACCCCAAATTCACCCTTCTCAGCTTATATCCAGCGTCGGCTGGTTTGCACAATTGCTGCTTCTTTGGGTTGTTCAAGTAACAGGAGATTAAGAACATTCCTAACCACTAAACCATATACACTAAAGTCCTGGAAACAAACACTCTTTATTTCTGTCTGTGCGCTTAACAGCACAATCTGCACTCAAGAAAGTTTAACTTTTTGATAAGTTTAGCTGAAAAGCTCATGGAATATTAGTCAAGAAATATGACTAAATTTTTTGTAATTTTGACTTGGTAAACATATGGGCTGATTCACCTAGTTGATTATAGGACTAAAAGTAAACCTTCCTGTTAGTTGAAATGACAAAGAACTGGAACATTAATCTACACAAGCTTATGAAATTTACTGGGAATTCCACATTTATGGGAAATGGCTGCATTTCCTTGTCCCAATCACAAGTGACATCCAGCCTGTTTCCAGAGAGTCATTATTAGAAAATGCATATGCTCATTGTTCCACCTTCGGTTTCACTCCGGAGTGTTTTTAATCTAATCTCACTCTTATGTAGCTGTATGTTTTAATGCTATAGTCGTCCACTGTAATTAGAAATGCTCTAAATATGACCCTTAATGGTTAAATAAGCATCATCAATTATGGTACACCTTTTCCCATTTCTTGTTGAGGCATTTTGTGCTGTTTCCCTGCAGGACGATGTCTTCAGTCCTCAAGGACAACAGGGCTACCATATCGACACTCTAAGAAAAGTAAGTGCTTTACACTATGTATTTGGAAACTTAAGTCATCCGCAGAATTGCATCAGTGTTTATCGAATGCGATGACATTCAGACGTTTTTAAGCTTGTTGCTACATGTACACACAATGTATGCATTATGTGGTGATGTTCTCGAATAACATTTAAACTCTTGATGTTTGTGGTATATTGTGTTTATTAATGTGCTAATGAACCGGATTGAGAGACTGACCCAGTGGGGAAGCCCGACTCTAGCAATGATTAATTAGCTGTAATTAACAAGCACTGCTTTAAAGAAGCCTCAGACGTGTTCTAATGATAGCTGAGCTTTCTAGCGCATTAAAACCAGCAGTGGATGTGCTCACCACTGACTGCAATAAACACACATGAAAGAAGGCCAAAATTACGATTTAAAAATCTTGTAATTGCCATTGTAATTTAACTGGCTACAGATATTTCTTACAAGATTTATGCTTTATATCATATTATAAAATTACTGACCACTTAGTCAAATTGTATTTGTGCAATTTTGTGCTGTTTTGTTATTTAGTTTGATGTGTGCTGTTTGTACTTAGTTCGTGACTTTTGGACCTTGTGAAAAAGTGACCTTGAAAACACAAATGCAGTTTGTTTCATTGTTCTCTTAGTCTCTCGGGAAATAAGCCATTTAAGTGAGGTGGATTAATTAGAAAGTAAAGCTCTAATTAGAACTAAAGGTCTAAAAACCATGAAGCTTCATCAGTCAACAAGGATTTCTTGTTGTTATTCATGGTTCATTGAATTGTTTACTGGAAACTTCCTGCCCCCTGGTGTCTGGAAAATGCATCACGTTGTAGCAGGAGACGTGTAGTGACATTTAGACAAACGCTGAAAAAGGACCATCCTTTGGCTTTTAAATACAAAACCCAGTGATGTCTCTTTAACTCAATTTCAGTGATTAAAAAAAGAAGAAAACGCTGGATTGTTTTAGCTTTGAGGAGACAGATTGATGTTATAAAACGTCAAATGTGTGGTGATTTGATTAGCAGAAATACTAAGTGCATGTCTTGATAGTTCTAGTGTGCATTTATCCGTCAGGTGCCTTTGATGAACGGCCAAATGTGTCCTCCTGTGAGAGCTCCCATGAGCTGCGCTCAGCCACCAATGGCACGCCACCCCTCACGAGAGCAGCTCATCGACTATCTGATGCTCAAAGTGTCCCAGCAGCCCCCGGGGCCTCCACGGGTCCCACACGAGATGCTGCAGCAGGAGGTGGGCACAATTCCTGCAGAAATCTCAATATGTCCTATATGTTGTACATGTAGACACATTTCATGACCATCATGTTAACATGAAATCGAAATGAACCCTGTTTACTTTAATACGCATTCCTAGTTTTATTCAAAATAAATCACTATATAAATAGTTTTTGAGCTCTATCATTACAAAGCCTCTGAAATTACATTATTCCTCTCACAATTCCTGCAGAAATCTCAATATGTCCTATATGTTGTACATGTAGACACATTTCATGACCATCATGTTAACATGAAATCGAAATGAACCCTGTTTAATACGCATTCCTAGTTTTATTCAAAATAAATTACTATATAAATAGTTTTTGAGCTCTATGAAGCCTCTGAAATTACATTATTCCTCTGATGTCACCTAGATTTGGATAATGTTGCTAGATAGATATTTAAGCATCACTGTAGCCACTTCATGTTGACTGATGTGTAACTCAAGCATTGTGGGTAGTGTGACACGTGTGTCTGTCTTCAGCTCCATGTGAAGATTGAGAAGAATCCTGAGCTGGGTTTCAGTATATCAGGAGGAGTGGGTGGTCGTGGGAATCCCTTCCGCCCAGACGACAATGTAAGTATTTCTCTTTCTCTCTTTTTTTTCTCTTTTCTTTTTTTTTTTTTTTATGTGTTAAATATAGGGTTGCAAAGGGGTGGAAAATTTCCGGAAACTTTCCAAAAATCCCTGGAATATTCCAAAAAAAAATCCTGGAAAGTTTCCAACATTTCTGGAATATTTCCAAAATTTATTGGAACTTTTCCACCTTTTTGCAACCCTAGTTAAATTGGTGTGCACAATTTCAAACTTTAATTTCAACCTTTCCAAAAATCCCTGGAATATTCCAAAAAAATCCTGGAAAGTTTCCAACATTTCTGGAATATTTCCGAAATTTACTGGAACTTTTCCACCTTTTTGCAACCCTAGTTAAATTGGTGTGCACAATTTCAAACTTTAATTTCAATGTGTCTGGATCTTTAGGTTCATCTACCTTTTTTAACCATAAAAACACCATGATCTTAAACAGAACAATGAACCTCAGTAGTATCTAGAGGTTATAGCATTATAAAAACATAAATATAATTTAGACAAATATACAAAACATAATTTTCACTTGGCCAAAAGAACAACCATTTAGGTCTGCAAAATGTTTATGCCAAATGCTAAATCCAATATAATATAATATAATTTGAATATTATACTTTTATTATTCAAAAAAGTGACAGTGAAGACATTTATAATGTTACAAAAGATTCCATTTCAAATCAATGCTATTTTTTCCACTCATCAAAGAATTCTGGAAATCCAGGCAGTCAAGTCTTTCAGATAAAATTGTAATTTATTTTAAGACAAAATCATAAATGATGACAATTACAGAAATAATCATGATGAAAAATTTAAATTCAAGAAAAAGATTGAAAATTAATACAAAATCCAAACCGAGTATATTCTGCTCAAATTTCGAAGAGAGTAATCTAATCAAAGTATAATAATCTTCAGAAGTCAAAGACAAAAGCCTTTGCAGTTTGTGATGCGAGTAGAAGAAAAGAAGCTGCTGCCTAAAAAGCCAAATGGCTTATAATACATATACTAGAGACTTGCATCCTCTTACAACATCACAATGGCTGGATCATAAATGTTAACCGAATTGTTCGAATTTATGTCATTATCTACTTCCCCTACCTAAAGCTGAATTAAGTTCAGGACTAGGTCACGTTGACATGACCTGTGAAATACAGTAGGTAGAATTGAATGAATGAATGATAATAACAAGATGTACATTTGATATGTCAAACTAAGGAAAACATATTACGTCTACAAAATATGATCATATATAAAAATCGTAATAAAGAATAAATGAATAATATTGAGTAACATGAGACAGTAATATGAATATGATAAAGAGTATCAATAAAGAAATAATAAGGAATAACTCGTAATGAAAAATACATTATAATTGAATATGAAAAATATAACCGTATTGGAATTTTGCATACACCAATCATGATTTCCACAAAATTATGAAGTAGCACACCTGTTTTCAACATTGATGATAATCAGAAATGTTTCTTGAGCATCAAATCAGCATATCAGAATGATTTCTGAAGATCATGTGACACTGAAGACTGGAGTAATGATGCTGAAAATTCAGCTTTGATCACAGCAATAAATTACATTTAACATATATTCACATTGAAAATAGTTATTTTAAAATGTAATAATATTTCACAATACTGCTGATTTTACTGTATTTTTTAAATAAATAAATGCAGCCTTTGTGAGCAGAATCGATTTATTTCAAAAGTTTTAATATCTTTCTGGCCCCAAATGTTTAATGATAGTGTATATTATTTTTTTGTGGTTTACGCCAAAACTGGTGCTCACACTTGTTATATGCTAGACATTTATTCAGTCTGCCTAGCCTAATGAATAATTCTTAAATCATAAATGATCAACAGGGCATCTTCGTGACGAGGGTTCAGTCGGAGGGATCTGCTTCAAAACTCCTTCAGCCTGGGGACAAGATCATCCAGGTCATTTCTACTCCTCAAGCTCTTCCACTCCTCTCTTACTATACACACTTTTGTCTTTTCCATACTTTAGTAATTCACTAACAATCAATCAACTTCCTCTTTGCAGGCAAACGGATACAGCTTCGTTAACATCGATCACGGATACGCAGTATCCCTCCTGAAGATGTTCCCCAACACCGTCGACCTGATCATCTTTCGAGAGATGGCCGCATAACAGATGAAGCTGAATGAGCACCGTCTTATTTTTGTACCGAGAGGAGCCAGTGCTTTATATAGTTAATCTGAACTGATGCTAACGGGACGATGGTTGACCGTCAGTGAAGAGGGGCGAAACCACTGACTCAAGTGGAAGACAGAAGCATGCGCCTTCACTGTGGGATGGTCTGTTGGCGCAGACCAACTGATATGAAAACCTGTGCTTTTTGTAAAGTTTTTGTTTTCCTTTTTTAAGACGTCACCTGGGTATAGAGCTCTTGTGGGACATTAGCTGTAGCTGACCGTTTGAGGGCAGGGCTCTCAGTCACAACTCACTCGTTTTTATTATTTTAAAGAGATCTTTAAAACCACTTTTATGACCTGTGTGAGATTCAGAGCTAGACAACAATGCTACGTGCTAACTGTGATAATGAATGTAGAACTGGGCTGAGCTAAACCGAACTGGATGTGAAATCTGTTGGCCTGGTGGCCACCGTTCTCACCTAGTTGTGAAGAAAAATCCCTCTAATTTGGATGAAAAACTTGTTCGCTCGATGCTAGCAACTCTTCTAGTCTTCGCAACTTGATCAGAAATCATCTTTCTCTACTTTCTGCAATGTTCCTCCAGTGAAATAAGAGTCTCTTCCTACAAACTTCTATGGAGTGAGACAAACGCCACCAGTAAGGATGCGCCGAAATGCTCCCTGTATGTAAAACTTGGACAGGAACACGATGAAGAACTTCAATGAGGATTTCGATAGAGAACAGCCTTGCGGAAAAAAAAGACATACACGGAAACAGAAAGTGGTTCTTAACCAAAGCATATTGGGACAATGGCGGCATGCAACTGCTGGCATGTCAACTTCTTTCCTCGTTCTACAACACAGCCACGATTCCAACGCCGCCGAACTAATCTGAAGCACTCACGTATGAACGTGTTTTTTTTCTTATTTCATTTTGGAGTTCATCGAAACAGTTTTCTATTCTGTGAAGAAGACTGTAAACGTAATATTTTATTCTCTTACGAAAACATTCTAACTTTCGACTAGTGGTGCGGTCATGGACGTTCGTTTGCTATTGAGGGCTGAGGAACGACATGTCAAGTGCCATAGACCCTGAACTGTCAGACATGGGTTCGACCCAGAGCAATACTCATTTAGATCCACGCCGCATATTCAGTGGCCTTATTGGGCTGACGAATGTCACCGTGGACGAAAGAGCAATAGAAAGTCCTTTATTCCATTCGCAGGATGCAGTCAGTTGCGTTTTTAATAACGAAATAACGAAACCCATTTAGTATTTCTCGATTGATAAAGCATTTTATATTGTAAATCTTTTAAAGAGAAAAACAGGAGATTGCATTTCAGATTTATTTGTAAAAAAAAAAAAAAGTTCGTAAAATGAAAAAATCTGTGCGCGAATTAATGTCTCGTCACGTCACATTAGCGACTGCACTGCTGTTTCCAGACATCCCTACGAAGATTATCATAACATTGTACGTGGATACATCGACTTCTTCAATAGCAAAGATATTCGAAAAGCGACGAAGCCTCGTAAAACGTTAATCGTAATGTTTGATGATGTAGTCACATCGAAAGGCCATGAAAGATTTGTGCTATGTCTGCATATGAGGAGAACGGCCTCCTGTCGACTGTAGTCTACTGTGTGTGTTATCTGCATGAAGTTCATCCTTTTGATCATCCTTCACTGTATTCTTCGGTAGACTGGAGCGCTAAATGAATCGAAGTAATCAAATTAACATACTGATAATGTAACAAATCCACAATTAAATGTGAAAGTGCAGTCACCGTTTTTACGAGAGCTCAAAAGAGTTCAGTTCATTCTGAATTGATTCGCAGTTGAATTCAGATGGGTCGTTTTTCACACTATTTTAATTAGCATTGACACGCCGCCCTCAAAGTATGTTAAACTAAGTATTGAGTCATTATTGTTTATGAATTGGAAAAGAATTTGCTACATTTGATCAGCGTTTGTTTTATTTTAAGTACAACTTTAGTGGATAAAACAACGCCCTCCAGCTTTGCTGTGAATGGTTCATTCAGCACAATGTTTTTGTGAGCGTAGATCCCTTGACTGTCACTTTTTATTATGTCTTCAAAGACATTGTAAAAACATAATGAACAGTGACTAAAAACAACTGGTGTTTCTTTTTTTTTATTATTGTCCCGCCTTTTATTTATTTAGCACACTTTACTTTGACTTTAGAGATTACTAATCAAAATGTAAATACTTTTTTAAAAGGTTTATGATTTGTCCATGGCATTAGTGATTACGTTTTTAAAACCAGCAGTAATTTGCATCACAGAAGCAGCCCTTTTAATGTATAGCTACGTCAAAGGTTTCTCCGCAAGCAGCTACTATTAAGATGATTGGTAGGCATTTATTCAACATTCCAGATTTTGTAAATAAATTTACTTTCCATGGTGTCCCGTGGAAAGAATAAATCAACTAATGCTCTTTCAGTGTGTATGTTTGTTCTTTTTTGCTACCGTTTTTTGTCCATACAGTGAAAGTCAGCGGGGTCCAGTGATGTTTTGGACCCCATTGACAATCATTGAATGGACAAAAACCAGTAAACCATTCTTTGAAATATATGTTTTGTGTGTTCTACAGAATTAAGGAAGTCATAAAGGTTTGGAACGATGGTGGATAAATAACACAATAGTCATTTGGGTCAACTATCTCATTTTTTGTCTTTTTTCCCCCCTCAGTTCTGCAACTATAAATCTGATCTTATTGAAACAGTGATATGAATGTATTATCAGGTTTGAGGTGGGGGTTTACATCACACCACCATATTTGTCATTAACAAATGGCAACCCATAGAAAATTTCACTCCATAATCTCCGTCATTAATCGAAGCTGATAGGTGTTAACAAAGACGTGCCATTAGATGGGTCTGCAAAGTAAAATTAGATGACTAAAGTAACTGAATCATTGCCTTTATCAGGTGTAGCTCAGTTCTCTGTTTACTGATAATGCAACTACACTGCTGAAGTTAGAGGAAGTGCCTTCAGTGTTCACACAGGTAAGGTTATAACCAAGCCTTCAGCACCTTCATCTGCTTCATTCCTTCACTGAAGTCACTTCAAGACCAGAAAGCAGCGGTGCTGTGCTTTCACATGGAGGACTGTCTCGTATCAGGTTCCCGCTCTATATATAACCAGGGGGCAAAATACAAGAGTGCTTTCAAAACAGACTCGTGGTTGTTGTGAAATGAAAAGTCATCCAACAACCGACTCATTTCATTGTTTTCCTGTTGACAACATATGAGTGATTTCAAACCACATGGATTCTCAGCTTAATCATGTAATTATATAATATATACATTTATTTGTGTTTTATGTCCATTTATTTACATCTACTTGCATCTTAATTCATCAATAAGAGAGGAGCAACAAGACCCAATTCAAAAGCTTACCCAGTCACAACTGCTGTATATAAAATGTGCCTATAAAAAACAAAAAATGCTGTCTAGCTAGGCAACTCGCTACATCTTGAGGCAGCTGGTATTCAAAATCTTTCAGTGCCATTGTCTCAGGTCTGCATGGCCTTGATCAAGATGTGTTGTGGTTGAATCAAGGCGTCCTTCAAAGAGAGCTGGGCTACACTGCTGATGTAAAAATAACCTTCAGCAGACCAATGTACTGTACACAAAGTGTCCACTTAAAAATGGTTTTCTTACTCAACCCTACATTTTGGATCTCGGTAAGACTGGAGCTTCTGATGCGGCTTTAACTTCTAAACACATGTTGTGCCTGATCTTACTAAAACATCACATTCTGCAACCAGTGCCATAGTTATTGCTGTAAAATCCCAGTGATATTATGACAGTGGAGGCTGATATCAGCTAACTAGTAGGCTAACTGGTGTACGGCATGAAAGTGAATGAGTGTGTCTTATCAGTACTATCACAATACTCAGAACTGATTTGGAAATCACTGGAACATTGTGAAATCTGACTTGTCGCAAGCAGTTGACTAGAGCTTTCTGCCTCCTTTTATCACAAATCATCTTCACCCTTAGGTCAAACTCGCATTTACAACTCCTTGAAATTGCAGAGAACAATCAAATCCAGCATCTGAGAAGCAAGACAATGCAAACCAGCCCTTGTCCGCTGCACTAGAACTATTGCTTCAGATTCCGAGCAGAAGGTTGCTTTCGGACAGTCAGGAAACTTCTGACGTTAAGCCCCGCCCCGCGGACGTGTCAATCTCCGTGACGTCACGCCCACTATTAAAGAAAACCAACAAACAGCAGCCAGAAAAACACACAGATCAGCGGACTAACAGCGCGGACCGTCGCGAAGGGTGGAACACAAAGTCTCTATATTCTGGGAGCTTCTCTTTTTGCTCGGATAAGGCAAGGAAAACACTTTTTGCTTCGCATTACAGCGCTTTAAACCTCATGCTAAGGTTATAGGAAAACATGACTCGTTTTGGTGAAGTGACCAGGTAGTAAAGCCTAATATTCTTATTTCTAGCGTGATTCGTTGGGATAATGTCGTTTAATGTGTTCGTTGTTAGTCTAAAACGATGAACTCGCCGAGTTTAACCAAATATGGCTGTTAGCGGATGCTAGCATGTTAGCTAGTAAAATTAGCCTGTTGTCCCTTTCAGCCTAAACGCTGAAATATGACACGAAAACAGCAGGTTTGTGTTTAAACAAGCGTGTTTTATTCTTAACGAGCTGTTTGCTTCGCATTTAAACCGGTTTTGTCTTTTAGGGTTGCTGAGATGGAAAAATAAGCCCGTTTTGTTGCAGTTAGCTGCACGTTTATTCAGATAAAGTTAACACTCTGCGCGTGTGTGTGTATAAATATAATTATTATTATTCGAGTAAGTTAATTAACTCACTATGATGATCTTTTCGGTTTAATTTCGTCTCTCTTCGTGTGTCGGTCGAGATATGATACAGGAAACTCAAAGCCCGGCTAGTTAGCGTGTCTTTTGAGTTAACGGATAAACGTCTTTAAAAACATTTTCCCGACTTCTGTTCCTGCGTATCTTGACGGATTTGTTCTGAACTGACATTCTGGTGGTGTATAATCGTGTCTTTATTATCACGGTTTGTACTTTGGCTCAAACAGGAAGAGTGTTTGAAACAAAGGAGAACACAAGGCATATATTCACCCTGACCCAGATATAAAGCAGATAAACCGCTACATTTCCGTCCATCCGCACTCATTCACCCTCACAAACCCCTCAGACTGAACACAACACGAACTCTGAGGGGATGAACGGTTGTGTGGAGACTTTTATGCTCTTTATAAACGACTGTCTGTATGTTAGCCGTGATGCTAGTGTTAGCATGACTCAGTGGATTTCACTATGAGGCCTCAAACACTGATAAAGCTCTATAAAATATACACATGCTGTGTGAATATCACACGTATACCATGTTTATATGATAAAGTGCACTTTGTATGAGCTGTATATCTGCTTGGTGCATTGAGTAATGAGCTGTTTTCTGAAGTCTTGATCCATTTATGGTGTCTTTTTAGCTTAATGGTTTGCTTTTGTTCAAATATTTGACTTGGTTCTCACTCATGTCTTTTGTTTTGCACTATATGCCGTGTGTTTTCTGTCATCCAGACAGGGCTGAATGGACACAGATGGCCGACATGCATGGACGGGAGAAAAACAGCCCTGTTGGGGCTTTGCCATTTTTGGCTTTATCAAAATATATGAGGCCATGTGTAGGGAGGAGGGCGCTACGCAAACGGGCTCCTACTAGAGGTGTGTGATGTAATGGAGGCAGGTCAGGACGATCGGGGGTATTTATAGCTGTTGGCATGGTGGAGGATGTTCTGAACAGCATGTTACAGTGCACCCTTGTGACAGATGAAACTAATCCAGCCGTCCATGTGAGCGAGAGCGAGGGGCAGCAGACGCACACGTGATGCGGCCCATGTGGTGGCTTTTCAGGGGAAAACCTCTGACACTGAGGGGCGGGGGTGAAATGGTGCAATCTCGTGTTTACTTAAGAGATGTGAGGCCCCTGAAAGCGTGCCCCTCGCCAATGTGTCACTCCTGAGAGATTTCAGGTTTATTGCTGGAAAGCGTCGGCTGTTGGTCCGGGTGCTTGGATGGCGTTTCTGCTGCCATCTGTCTCCGGCTGAACACCATGTTCAAGCTGTTCCACCTACAGATATATTTACATGTCACACTGCTAGTCAGCATTTACCCATCAAAACACAGTATAGTCGCACTTTATCTGCCTAGCAGGGTGATCATAGTATTGGAATTTCAGTAGCTGATGCCAGTGAAATTGGTATTGAGTTATAATTGATACAGCAGAAAAAAATGTTATCGAACACAGCAGTTCGCTGTTAATATGAATGGGTAGTTATTGATAATGTGACTTATGAAATAATATTGGTCATATCACCAACCCCTGGTCCATAAGTACTTTTATTTCATGGTAATGTGCATTATATTATCATAGTTTTATTTTGTGTCTTGTCTATAAAAATAAGAACTTACAAGTCAATTACAAACAAAGATGCAAATGACACGGTGCTGTACTGTAGGTCTATTTAATATCAGCATTTAAGTAAAAAAAAAAAAAAACATAACCGTGAAGTAGAAGTTTCTGAAAGAGGTTGGTATTTGTTTCAGACTTAAAGTGTCTCAGAAGACTGTTCAGAATCAAATGTGAACTTGTTTGAATGGAGCACATTTTAAAAACTGTTTAAATGCTGTATACTGCTGTCTTAAAACATGGCATTACATTATGCAAGATTAGTGTACGCTCAGGGACGGTTTAGTTAAGATTTTACCAGAAGAGATTTAGTATTTGTCTTAATTTTACAAATCTTGTCTAATTTTAACTGCTGTATTTTTCTGTTTGCTTGGTTTTTATTTCATTTATGTAACTCTTGTATTTCATCTCCGTTTTTGCCATAAAGCCTTAGATCCTGACATGGCAATACAAATAACTAACTACTGCTGCGCAGTATTAGTTGAGGTCATTATGAGCGTGCTAATTCTGTAGGTATCCCTTAAATGTATAAAAAAAAAAATTTATTTGTCACTAATACTGTAGGTCTATTTAATATCAGCATTTAAGTAAAAAAAAAAAAAAACATAACCGTGAAGTAGAAGTTTCTGAAAGAGGTTGGTATTTGTTTCAGACTTAAAGTGTCTCAGAAGACTGTTCAGAATCAAATGTGAACTTGTTTGAATGGAGCACATTTTAAAAACTGTTTAAATGCTGTATACTGCTGTCTTAAAACATGGCATTACATTATGCAAGATTAGTGTACGCTCAGGGACGGTTTAGTTAAGATTTTACCAGAAGAGATTTAGTATTTGTCTTAATTTTACAAATCTTGTCTAATTTTAACTGCTGTATTTTTCTGTTTGCTTGGTTTTTATTTCATTTATGTAACTCTTGTATTTCATCTCCGTTTTTGCCATAAAGCCTTAGATCCTGACATGGCAATACAAATAACTAACTACTGCTGCGCAGTATTAGTTGAGGTCATTATGAGCGTGCTAATTCTGTGTGTGCTGTCTAGGTATCCCTTAAATGTATAAAAAAAATTTTTATTTGTCACTAACATATCAATAGCTTTACATCCATGCAGCACAAAATGAGTTACGTATTGCAACATAAATGATGTGGCAAAATACTTGTGGATTGATACTTTGTATTGCGGCCACAATATGTTGTCATGTAGCCCAGTCCTAATTAATATCAAGGTTTTAGGTCACTCCATAGGGGAGGTGTTTACTTTAAATTTCATTTTAAATTTCTCTCTGTTTTTGCAGTGTGTTCATGGCAGATGATCTTAGTACTGAGATTACAGTTCTCCTGACGTCAATACGGTCTCGTCTGATGTAACCCGCCCTAAAATGTGTTAATGAAGGACTTTACTGGTTAACGGCGAAACAAACCACAGGTTCCAGGAAGTCTTAAAAGTTGTCATACAAGCATCCAGCTCAGTCAGGTTGTAAAACAATCACATGATCCGTGGCGTGAGTTTGAAGGAATGGGCTTGAATCAGGTGATTCTGTGCCAGGATGAGGCTCGTGCCAAACCGATGCCAAGAAAAGCATTCAGACGTTTGACCCTTAATCTGATTCTCCGTCTGCGGCAACATTACGCCTTTATCAACGCAAATCCTCTTAATGAAGCCAGTCTTTGATTCCTGCTTCACACATACTGTTATGCTTATGACTCTTGTGTTTTGTTCTCGGCAGGAATCGCTCAATTTCAGAGAGATGGCCCAGGAGACCAATCAAAGCCCCGTGCCCATGCTCTGTGCCACCGGCTGCGGTTTCTACGGCAACCCTCGGACCAGTGGCATGTGCTCGGTCTGTTACAAAGAGCATTTAACACGACAAAACAACGGGGGAGTCAGTCCTATTAGCACAATGGGTACGTGTTTCCGCTCTTTGAACATCTTCACGGACCATCGGACGCATTCGTGAGATTGATTGTTCCTCAAGCGTCTCATTAACTGAGGGGCTTTGGTCTGTTCCAGCAGCTTCCAGCAGTGTCACCAGTAGTCCTACCTCTGAATCCTCAGCCATCCAGATCATCGAAGCTACACTAAACAACTCCTCGTCTGCTAGTGTTGAGTCACCCAACTGCACCGCCGCCACTGCTGCCCTTCCCGTTACACAACAGATGACGGAGATGAGCATTTCCTGTGAAGACGAGGTGGTCTCGCTTAAAGTAGAAGTTCCTGAACCAGGTTGGTATTTGTGTTTCAGACTTGAGGAAGTGTCTCGGAAAAGACTGTGTTCAGAATCTTACTGCAAGGAAGTGAACTTGTCTGAATAGAGCACATTTTAAAACCGTTTACACATTCATATTCAAATATATATATATATATATATGAATGAGCAATATCACTCCAGTACGAGATCGATACCGGCTCTATACCAGCATGGCTGTGATTAGGCCAGAGGCACGAAGTTGACAGTTAAACATACGTCACTTTTAGAATTCGTATCAAGGGCATGTGCTGCTTCAGTTAGGTTATTAGTGAGAAATAATGAGGTTATAAGAGAGAAACAATGCGGCAAGACGTGCATCCAAATGAGAGCGAGAGACCGCGAAGCTAGACGTTTATTCTTATATTAACTAATGTACTCTACGATTAGCTCAGTGAATAATTAAAAAATAAAAACATAGACCTAGAACATGGCTAGAACAAGCGGAGTGATACAAAATTGTGAGAGCGTTCCTGTAGCGATACCAGTACAATATCTCACGGTTCTCAACCAATCAGATTTGAGAACCAGAACGTATGTGTGTGTGTGTGTATATATATATATATATATATATATATGTATGTGTGTATATAGGATTGGATGAACCCAATATTTCCTTTTTGTCTTTTTAAGAAGAGAGGGGACAATAAAATCATCCTCACTGCTTGAAGACGCCATTGTATTGTTTTGCAAATTTTTTTGCAACTGATTCATTAATTCGCATGGGACTCAGTGTGCAAGGTTTCTGTGCGTGACACATTTTTAGGATGACGAATACGAAAAAACTAGAGATGCACCGATCGATCGGGTAACAGTATATTGGGTCCGTGGATAAACTCTTAAAGGGACCGCAGTCCAATATTTATGTTGCTGTCTGTTAGGGGTGTGCGATATATATCGTCTGCGATTTAATATCTTAATCGTTGTTTTAACGATGTGTGATTTGATGTTATCTAGTATTTTGCAAAAACCTTTCAAAACACCCCTACAGAGTGCACGCATACAGTGAAGTTTG